ATTAATAGTATACTTTATTTCATTAAAAACTGAATCATTGGATAATGCAATTATAGAGCTCTGATTGGCTTAGCCATCATGGTATATGAGCCATTATACCGTGCTCTCCAAATATGGTAACTGTGCGCATCTACTCAAAATTGCAAGCAAGCTGAAAAGCGGTTGTTTTTACAAATAAAGTCGGGAAGAATTCTCAATATCTTGCGGGCGTTTTGAATAAAACAATTATTCCACTTACGCTTGTTGGATATGAGATGAGTATAGCCAATCTACCATCTCATATCCAATGCACAATCGTGGAATAATTGTTAAATAAATTAGCAGTGTTTATTCATCACCAACAATGGGTTGTAGATTGAGTGACATTGACTAAAATTGTTCAAATTATGCTTGGTTGTCGAGTTGCAAACAGTTACGTGTTTTGGATAGTTTTCCTTCATTTTGTATACATGTAACAGCGAACTGAATAAATAAATATGATAAATTCCAACACAGACTGTTTTTTCCTAAAATGTTTTAGGGTCTAGTCAATTTCAACAAATGCATTAATCTGTTAAATGTAAACAGATCCAATCACTATTTAATTAACTGTTTCGAGTTGATGTTCTAGATTTTATTCAAAAGCGTACCTCTTGGAAATTTTAAGCAAACATAATTTGTTTACCAAACCAACTTCTGCATACAAATAAAGTGGTTATGACTTTGATTACCACGAGGAATAATCAGAAGTTGAAACTTTTGCCTTTTATTTTTAAATTACTACTTTTGAATTTCAAAATTGTATCAATGAATCTTGTGGCAAAAAAACGGTGCACAAAGGAAACTCCATACACCTTGAATCACACGAATGACGTAGTAAACTTAAATATACCCTCTATTCTTAACTCCATTAAAACGCAATTAAAGGCATTTTAACAATGTAATGTCCTGGATAAGATTAGTAATTGTCTTGAACAAGCCAGACACATTTTATTTATCTGGTTCACTCAATAGCCGGATTACAAGTAAACTGTACAGCCCTTACAGTACGGAAGATAACCTTGACATCCGAAGTGTTGAAGACACGATCCAGTCCATTTGTGGCATATGCATCTGACCTGGAAGAAAAAAATCACAAATCTACATAAGGAACAGGATAAAACTATTTACAGTCAGGGGTTTCAAGTAGCCAGCCGGTTAAAATAGAGACTGTAAACAACTGTATCAATGAGGCGGTCATAAGTACCCCTCTTCTAGGGGGTCTTTGAAAATTTTGAAATTTTGCAGCATTAAAATGCATTCATCGGTTGTTGGTGCTTATTGAAACATTACTACAGCGGAACCTCTATAATTCAGGGGACACCCCCAGGACCAAGGAAAGTGTCACCTAAATAGAAGTGTCCCTTGAATAGTGGTTGGGCAAGGGTTTGTTAATAATTAACAAACAAAGGATTTTTCTAATTTCTGCCTTGGAATCCGTTGCAGTTATCATTTTTCAAGCAGCTAAATAAAAAATCACAGTTAACTTTTCTCTGCCAAATTGTTGCGTTGTTCCTACATGTGCAGTACATCGATTATTATTTAAGTGAGATTGTTCATGTTGCGAAAGCTGTAATCATTGTAATCAGTGTAAACATTAACTTATCAACCTTCTATGTGGTCAGTCACGTTCTGAGTACTAAGGTGTCCCATGAATGGAGGTTAAAATAATATAAAAAATATAATATAGAAATATATATATATATATATTAAATGCATTATAAGTAATAACAACAAAACAATATTAATAACAATAAGCAGATAAAAAAAAGAAAATATTATTTACAATTCACAATTTTAAGTTTAAGTATGTCAGGCAAAAAGAATCTACATGAAGGTAACATCCTGTATTTTGGTCTTAAAGAATGCAAAAAACTGGCACGAAAAAAGTCCCGCAGTGCATTCCACTGCTTAGCTGAAAAGTAAGAAAAGGAGTTAAGACCATAGGTACTTGTTTTAGGTTTACTTAGTGAAAGAATGTAGTTGTCACGAAGATCATAGGAAGAGGACCGGAGTGAAAACATATTCTTCATATAAGCAGGAAAATGAGTGAAAAACAAACTCTTATATAACAGAATCAGGAAATTTTGAATGCGTTTGTTACACAACGAAGTAGAGCTGACCTTTGAGAGAAGAGTGTTGTATGGAGATGAGTAATCTCCAAGTATAAATCTAAGTATTCTTTTATTTAAAGCTTCAGGAAAATTTTCTCCTTTTTCCTTAATAGAGGTGTCATTCCAACAGGGGTAATCGATAAAAAGATTATGTGAATATTTGTCCGGGCCAAATTTTGTGTCCCCTGAATGGAAGTGTCCCTTGGACAGAGGTGTTCCAAAGGAAAGGTTCATCTGTATAATATTCCATTTATCAGTTCAATTAAGAACCAATACTTATAAAACAGACGTGTTATTTATATTTATATTCAATATAATAACAATAATATCAGTAACATCATTCAATAAGATTAAACCCATCACATTCAGATACTGATAATATTACGGACCTATAAAAAAGTAACTATATAAATTATGATCAGAAATGCCCTATTTTACTGGGAGAGGTCCCTTATCAAAATGCTACCCAATTTACTAGTTACATTCTATTTTGCTATGCTAACCTAGTGACTTGTTATCTCTTTCCTGTGGTAATGACGTCCTTTAATACAGCTGCTTCTCAATTGTTGGAGCCACTCATAAACATGCATCTGGTGATCTGCCACACCCTGTTCAAGACAAGTTGCCACATTATTTTCCACATCAAAAGATTTTACCTGAATAGGGGTTGTGGAACAACTGCTGGGTGAAAAACCGTCCTGAACATCAACTTGCTCCCAGGAGGAAAACCCCAGGCCAGCTGTACCACATATTCAATGACCTCCTGGCCTGAACAGGAGTTGTGGAACAGCACCTGGCTGAAAAACCTTCCTGAATGTCAACTTGCTCCTAGGAGGAAAACCCCAGGCCAGCTGTACCACACATTCAACGACTTCCTGGCCTGTGTTAGCAAACATTTCCAAAATTAAATCGATTTCTAAATTAAACATTGATAGTGATCATTATCATCACTCAGTCGACCAAAGAGCAGTCGACTGTAAGTTGTGTCTAACTGTCTTGGGCAGCATGCACGATGTCCAACCCTTTTGGCTGGAAACCTCCCATTTTCGCTTAATATTCTCCCTGTTTTTTAAACTGTCCCTTTCCTTTGTTCAACTAGTCTTTTTACCACAATTCGTTTCCTGTTTTCTGTGGTTTCTCAACCATTTTGACTCTTTTAGCATCCAAGCATGAGCCTGCGATAACTTTGGGTGTGGCATTTTCATTGACTGTCACCTCAAAATGCAGGAAATGGCATGTTAGAGGCACACATCTTAAAAAGTTTCCCAGGGGAGCATGACCCTAGAACCCAAGGGGGACCCCCGCCTTCAGCAATCATGGGCATGGTTAAGCCGCTCCAAAAACCTCCCTTTTTTACTTGACAGGGTTGGAAACTCTGAAATCCTTATTCATTAACCATTTAACCATTAATAGTATTACAAATACATAGTATTACCAATAAAGGTCCAGAAACCAACCTAGTGACTTGTGATCTCTCCCCTGTGGCAATGACATCTTGCTCCAGATTAGCTGCCTTTCTAACATTGGAGCCACATCTGTTCAAGACAAATCCTTGTTATTCTTTTCTGCCTGAAAAATAAATAACTGAAGGTTAAGCAAAGTGAGAACTCGTACATCATAATTTTAGACTTCCTAGGTTATTTTTACCATTATTAGTAGCATGCAGACATCACACACTGATAGGAAACAATACGAAAACATCCATTCAGGTTCGTAACGAGGTATATGGGATCAGGGATCAAAAGCAAAAAATGGGGGTGGGATCAGGGATCACAGCGCTGGGAACTGGGATCACAAGCCGTGGGATCAGGATCAATACTACCATAAGTGGATCAAGGATCTGGTTTTCCGAAATAACAACGAGAACATAAAATTCTGAAATGCGCCTTAATCGGAGGGACCTGCCAACCTTTTAAAATTCAGTTGTATTTTTGCTGTAATAACATCGAGATGTAATTGACCAATCAGAGATCAATAACCAGAGCATAATACCATCAACTGATGTGACACAACTCACTTTGACTCTGAAGATGACTACCGCACAGGTTGAAACGTCAGTCGAAACATCAGTCACTGTCAACAACAACAGCCCTATTGAGGACTACGTTCACCTGGACGATCAAACTCAACCTTCTTTTGATATACATCCATTCGTCCAATAATTGGACGAAGGCTTCAATTCATGTATTAAATTTAACTCAAACAAACAACTCATTTTCTAATTGCATGAGTGAGTGCATTCATGGTATACCCTGGAAATTACGACCACTTTTACTTCACAAACTGTCACCCTTCCAAATCACATTAAACAACGCGTTCAACGAAAATTCTTTTTTTCATGGCAATATTTCCAACAAATAAGGAAAAACATGGTGACAATATTTTTCATGGAATCGCTTGATCAAGCTAATTTGCATAATTGACAGCGGTCATGACTTCAAAAACACCAAAAGATTAAAGTGTCTGCGTTCAATCAAATCAAATTAAATCAAATCTGCTGTTCTTTTCAGCCTGAGAAAATAAATAAGAATTCATTCACTCAGTTGTAAATTTCTTTTTGACTCGTTCCTGACTTTTAACTTGTTGGTATTAATGGGAACAGAGTTCTGCAAGGGATGTACAAATAGCTTAATGTCTAAGACTGAGCCACAAAATAATATAAATGACTTCATAGGAAAGGTGTAGCTACCTCAACACAAGTTGCACTTGTGCATCCCTAAAAAGGACACAAGACTGAGTGCAATGACTAAGATGACTTATGAGGTAACGAGAGTGACTTGAATGACTGGAAAATAACTGGGATGACTAAGATAAATGGAGTAACTGGAATGAATGAGATGACTAAGATGACTAAAGTGACTGGGATGACTAGAGATACTTGGATGAATAGTACCCGGGGTGACTAGGATGACTGGGATGATTAGGATGGGAAGAATGAATGGGATGATTGTGATGACTAGGATGACTAGGATAACTGGGATGACTGGAATTCCTAGGAGGACTAGGATTACTAAGATGGCTGGGAGGACTGGGTTGACTGGGATGGCTAGGATAAATGGAATGAGTCGGATAATAGGATGATTTGGGTGACTAGGATTACTGGGATAACTAAGATAACAAGGATGACTGACCAGAATGACATGATGAGAGATGGGATGACAGGGGTCTCTAAGATGAATGGAATAACATGGGTGACTGGGGTGACTGGGATGAGTTGGATGACTGGGATGATTTGGCTGACTGGAATGACTTATGTGATTAGGATGAATAGGATGACTATTAATGAAATAACTTGAATGGCTGGGATGACTGGGATAGCTGGGGTAACTGAAATGACTAACGTGACTAGAATGAGTGGGATACTAGAATGAATTGGATGGATAGGGTTACTGGGATAACTGACACAACCAAGATGAATGGGATGATTATGACCAGAACAATTAGGACAAGAGGATGATTGGGATGACAGGGATAGCTACAATCCGCGACAAGATTGTTGAGACATTGTACTCAAATAGGGTAACTTCAGAAACATAAGAATCCACACCCCTCCCCTGTCCCCTCCATTCAAAGTTGGGATGTTTCTTGTTTTCTAAAGGTAGCTCGAACAGTGGCACAACATTGCATGGAGGGGATGAGGGAGGAGTGTCTCAACTCATTTTGTCACCGATTGTAGAAGGACCAGGAAAACAAGGTTGCAGCGTTTGAACCCCTTTTTTAACAAAACATTCAAGGATTTTTCAAGGACTTGCAAGGACAAATTTCTCATTTTTCAAGGATTCCAATCAGAGATTTGAGTCAACTTTTTTAGTTCTGTGACAACATGACTGCAATTTTAATCTTCATTTTGAAGGTCTTTCTGTGTTTGCTTCTTTTAGGCACTTGAGAATCAGGGTTGGATAAGTTAGCACTGGAATGCGAGGACTTTCCAGCACTGACTACAATGTTCAAGGACTTTTAGTTGCATGCGAACCCTGAGGTTAAGGAGGGTGACTGGAATTACTTGGATGACTGGAGTAACTGGAGTGACTGGGATGGCTGGGATAACTGGGATGACTGGGAAGACTAGGATTACTGGGATGACTAGGAGGACTGGTTTGACTGGAATAACTGGGGTGACAAGGATGATGAAGTGACTTGGATGATTAGGATGACTTAGCTAGGTGACTGGGATGACTGTGATAACAGGAATAACTAGAAAAGCTGGGATGACTAGGATGATGAGATACCTGAGACGACAACGGTGTCTGGTATGACTGGGATGAATAGGATGACTAGGATGGCTGCAAGACTGAAACGATTAGGATGCCTGGAATGACTGGGATGACTAGGATAGCTAGGATGACAAGAATAAAGGGAATAACTAGGATGACTGGGATCACTGGGGTGACTAAGATGACTAGGATGAATGGAATGAGTGAGACACTAGGATGACTTGGATGTCTAGGGTCTCTAAGATGACTGGAATAACATGGGTGACTGGGAGGATGTGGATGACTGGAATGACTTCCATGATTAAAATGAATAGGATCACTATTAATGAGATGGCTTGGATGACTGGGATGACTAGGATGAGTTGGATGACTGGGATGACTTCCATGATTAAGATGAATAGGATGACTATTAATGAGATGACTTGGACGACTGGGATGACTGGGATGACTGGGATGACTGTGATGACTAGGAGGGACAACTAGGACTGAACTGATTGACTAGGATGAATGGGATGACTTGGTTTACTGTGATGGGTCAGGGGTGACAGGGATGATTGTGATGAAAAGGAAGATTTGAATAACTGGGTTGACAAAGATAAATGGGATAACTGTGATAACAGGGATGACTAAGATGACTAAGGAAACTGGTATGACTGGGTTGACTAGGGGGACTAGGATGAGTTAGTTGAACAGGATGACTGAGATGACTGGCAACTACAATGACTTCAGAGATTGGGCTGACTAGGGTAACAGACACGACAGTAATGACTCCTTTGACAAGGATGACTAGGGTGGGTGGGATAACAAAAATGACTAAAATGACACGGGTACCAAGGATGACTGGGATGCAAGGAGGACTAGGATGACTGGGATGACAGCTGAGACTAGATTGAGTACCATGACTGGGATGACTGGGATGACTAGGGACACTGGGATGACAGGAGTGACTGGGGTGACTTGAATGACTAAAATGATTGGGACTACTGGGGCAACTAGGATAACTGGGTTGGCTTGGATGACTAGGATGAATAGTTGGATGAGTGGAATGAGTGGAATAGATGGATCACATTTAATGAAGGAACCTGAATTAATTCTTTAAAAGGGGGAAACAGTGGGATTTAGAAAATTGTACCTCTGGAAAAATCCCAAACAAAATGTGGTAGTCTTATACGAGTTAAGAAAGTTACAGAAAATGATAAAACTAATACCTGAAATGCCTGAAATCAACAACAGGGGACCATGATCCTTCTTCTTCTTGAGACGTCATCCCTTTAATTGAACACATGTTTTTGATATCCAAAACTTGTGATGGGCAGAGAATCTTCCAGAACATCACCACATGTGTGGGGTTCTGTTAAATGGCCAGAGATGCAAGAAATAATAGAAAGGAAAGGAATAGAAAAGAGAATTAGTCTCCCTACAGTACCTATATATATGTACATCCATTTTTCTGCAAAAACATTTCCTACCAGAATAAATTAAAGTTTCAAAGTTCATTGAAGATTTTAACAAAAAGATTTGCCTACAATATGAGCTTTCTATACTTAAGTAATTTTTAGATTTTGTGATCTAACAACAGCGTTACGTTAACTTGTGAAGACTATCTCAAGAAACATTAACTTTTTAAGTAAATAAGATAAGCGATTACTAATAAAAATGGCTGTAGAACAACAGGTGGGTGATTATAACCAACCTAAATGTCCACTTCCACATCCGCTTAACCCCACACTCATGGCGCTTTCAAAAAGTCAGAACTTGCCGCCTGGACCACGGCTGGACTGGTCATTTTGACAATTAAATAGGACTTTTACAGTCAAGGCAGGTCAAGCATACCCCCCAAGATTCTATTAATGAATTGATTATTGAAAAATGAATCTGTTAGTCATTCTGGTAACTAGTGTCAAATTCAAATCGGCATTCCTGCATGCGTAATGACGGTGAATATTTTGCGAGAACTCTGTAGTTGTCAAATTCAGAGAAACTGAGCTAGTAGAAATTTTATAACTTCCTCACATGTGAATTCACGGCTCATTACACATGTAAAAATGCAGAGATGAAACTGAAATCTACCACTACCAACGGATTAAACTTTCGAACAATAAATTCATTTACGTAACCTTGGGGGGTATGCTTGACTTGGCTTGACTGTAAAAAGAGCTTTTGCCGAAAAACATCTCTTTCTTGCCTTGCAAACACCCTGTAGATGTCACTCAATAGTTTGATTCAAAGTAAAATTCTCATGACATGAATGGTCTGGCCAGTCAGTTCTGACTTAATAGAAAGTGCCCTCAGTGATCTCCCAGGCTGAGTGATAGGTAGAGTGAAGTAGGGTAACTATTAGTAATAAATTGTTCCTGACAGCATACATACCAAACCAGTTGTAGTTCGTAGACTGTGATGCTGCTGTCCTCTAAATCCAGACTCTCCAAAGAATGCAGTCCATTTCTATAAACCTCGGACCAGTTTGCCTCATTTGTTGCTTTCTTCTGCCTGAGAAAAATAAATAAAAACATTTTTATCAGCATATAAACTGATGAAGATGTGACTGTCACTTCTTACTACAAATGTTAACACTCCTTCATATCCTTATGAAAATCCTATGTACATGAATAAAGCATAATAACATTTCCTAGGTACAGAAGATCAAACATTGAGATTAAACAAGTGAAAACACGTTGACAATAAATATTTGATGAGCTTGAAACATGCTGTTTTTGAAGTAAGGCTGGGACTACGTGAAAAAAGGGACTGAGGGATACTTAATGAATTCAAGTTGTTTCAAACAATTTCAAAATAAAGAGAATTGACTCTGGTAACTAACATTAATACCGTAAAAGGTTTGAACCCAGGAATCATTTCAAAAGTGGGTTGACTTTGAACGTCTGGGTGAACATAGTCCTGAATAGGATTGCTGTTGTTGACAGTGACTGATGTTTTGACAATCTGTGCGGTAGTCATCTTCAGAGTCAAAGTGAGTTGTATCACGTAAGTTGATGGTAATAACTTCTGGTTATTGACCTGATTGGTCAACTACGTTGCAATGTTATTGGGCATCTGTCAGTTAAGGAGTGATGTTTCTAGCTATGAAGACTCGTAATCAGTAATTGGTGCGTTTCGATCTGTCTATTGTCACAGTTAAACAGTCGTCTATTGTTAGTCAAATTGTCAGTTGTACTCCTCAGTAATAACATACAGTGGCATAGCCATGATTTTTTTACACGTATGCACAATTTTCTGAATCCCCGACTCTGTGTCCTTACTGTTCCAAATCTTTTTTTGGTGATGTTATGCTGCACATGGTTAAGCTGAAGCACTTTTGCCTTAGCTTACGGATGAAATGACATACCAGGATGATGTGAAAATAATATTGTCACCATTTTGGACCCATTGACTGAAGCACCCAAATTGCCTATCTTGGTGAACACATTGTTTAAGACTAATACAAGAACTCTACATTTGTGTAATTGTGCCCTATTTTAACAACTACATCCCAGTCATCTCAGGTGTACCAGTCAACCTTAGTCATCTAATTCATCCCAGTCATCCTAGTAATCAAAGCCATTCTAGTTCTACCAGTCATCCCAGTAATTCCTAAGATCCCAGCCATCTCAGTCTTTCCTGTAATAACAGTCATCACAACCATCAAAGTCATCCCAGCCATCCTAGTCAACCTAGACATCCAAGTTATCCCAGGAAAAACAGTTATCCTAGTTGTACCAGTCATCAGAGCCATCTCAGTCATCCTTAAGTCATACCAATCATCCTTGTGATCTCTTTTCTTGCTAGCCTGAATTTCATCCGATTGCTTTGAGTCGTTTTTCTCCCCTCAGCAACGTCTGAATCAACCGGTCATTAATGCCGTCCAGTGACGTCCCTCTCTACCCAAAAACCAGGTAGTGATTTTGATTAGTTGATTGTCTAAGCATTTGCATAATTATGTATAATTATGAGAAATTTTAGCGGGGTTGTTGCTTGATATTTAGCGGATCGCATCCCTCGCTTGCTTGCATGGAGTTCAAACATTTTGATAATCTTTATCGTAAACAGCAAAATTGCCCTTGTCTTCAAAACTGAATAGCTAAATTGAACTGCCAATGAAGAATCATTGCAGAGAGTCAGTTGGTTTTCATTTAAAGCCACTTTGTGGTTTCCACATTGATTTTGTTTATGCAAAGTTTTATGAGATCAAAGTTATAATTTGACCTTCAGGCTGTTTTCACTGTCAAGTGTGATGATTCTGTCTGTTAGTGTTTCTTTCTTGTTTCCTTGTTTTCTTTTTTCTTTGTTACTGGACCAAATAACTTCTTTCCAATTAAAGCAAATCGTTGTCTTTTTTAACTAAGTGTTCCGTGTGTGTATTTATTTCATTGCCTGATTGTGACTGAGTTTGATTACTGAATTACAACCAGGTTCAGAGTACTGGATGCAGTTGATAGTTTGAACATTAAACATGAATTATGATCGAAAAGGGGAGAGCAATTCTGTATCATGTAGACATTTCCTAACGATATTTCTTGGTATTTCTCGTGTTTTACTTTTTGCATGAATTAAAGCAAAGGAGTAGTCACTGGATGGCATTAACAGCCGGTCGATTCAGATATTAATGAGGGAGCAATAATGACTCGAAGTAATCAGATGAAATTCAGGCAATTTTCTGGCTTGATTTGCCAAAAATTACACACAACACAAAAATTTTCATTTTTTGACAAAAACCCTTAGGAAAATTTCAACTTTTTAGTGTTTTTCACAAATTATTTCACTTTTATGGTCTAAAAAGCATTCTTTTCTATCCAGGATATTAAAGGAGAAGTTCATTCCAAAATGGCAGGATTTTTTCTTTTCGCCAACAAAAAGATTATACAAAGGAAGTTTATGCACCAAAATCTTGACTTCCAAAGAGCTTTCCACCCCTTTGAAATTCTTGTCTTTTTGAGCTAGCCCAAACTTCAAGATCTGGTGGCTGCCAAATTGGAGAACTCTTAGCAGCCTGGTGACGAGTGTGTGACATCCATGCGCTCAACCTAAGTTTGTTTAATCACTCAAAACTTCTTGTTTCTTCGTTTCTCAGCTGCACAAGAAGTCATGACCACAATAAACACAAACCGAAACAAACAAAAAAGAAGTGTTGAGTGATTTAATCTTTCTGCCAACCTCAGGTTGAGCGCATTCCCATCACGTACTCATAACTGGGCTGCTAGGATTTCTCCAAGATGGTGGCTGCCAGATCTTGAATTTTGGGCTACTTTAGACGAGAATTTCATGGGGTTGGAAAGCTCTTTGGAAGTCGAAATTTCGGTGAATAACCTGCCATTTTGAACTTCTCCTTTAACAAACCATGTTTTCTGGCTTGATTTGCCCAAAAAACACACAGATAAAAATTACAATTTTTTCCCTAAACCTTGGGCTAACCCCTTTGAAACATTTCAATTTTTTGGACTGTTTTAAAACATTCTTTTCTTTCCAGA